GTAATCAAGCGTTAGAACCACTTACTAGGCCAGCGGTGAATCTAGCTTTAGAAGATCCAAAAACGGAATTTTAGACCTCACTAGCACTTGTAGTACCAAGACCTTACCCCTCTGGTATCGGTAACTGATGCAGAGGATATTAATGATATGATAGGCCGACACAAACTTTTTTCGCCACTCGAAGGGCGCAAAAGGCGGCCATTCAACCGATTGAATAAAGGTCGAAACTTATCAAGCCGAAAAAAAAGTCGACAAAACAAGCTATACTGAAAAAGTTGAAATATAATTTCTAATATGAATTTTAGCATTTTGCGCAATCCATAAGTGGGCATTAATAAATTGTTTCTCTTCAAAAAACTGAAAGTAAGCCACTAAGCCAATATAAAGTAGACCAAACCCTACTTAGCCGAAAAAAAAGACAAAAAAAAACAAAAAGTAAAATTTTAACAAACCGAGTCGGAAAAATCAAAAGCACCATAAAGCGCATATTTTGAACTAGACGGATATTTAAAATAGCATACTAAAATTTGCTTAATTTTTGCAACCGAGACTAGGAGAGGAGTAGGATTTCCAAAGTGGACGAAAGTACTGAACAGAAACCTTTCAAGAAGAAAAAAAGTTATGTCCCTTTTCCCTCAGAGCACAAGCACGCATACAAACTTTTTTTGATCCCCGAGCGACGCAAAAGGAGGCCACTAGGTTGATATAACTTCAGCCGTAACTTATTAACCCGATAAAAAAAAACTTTGACAAATCGAGTTGTTAAAATTACAACCAGTGTTAAAAGCAAATTTCGATTCCACCGAATTTTAAAAATGCTAAATTACTTAAAATAAAAACAAGGAAAATTGTTTACAGCCAAACAAAAGGATCTTTAGATCTGGCAACTAAGCCGACGAAACATATCCAAACAAATAATTGGCCAAATTTTTTTTGAACCGAAACATTTACTGTTTAAAAAACAGGTCTTAGACAAACTCAAACCCGAGACCTTTGGCATCCCAAGCGTAGTCGTTACTCGCATGGCATGCTAAGTGTACAGGAGACAGTAAGAAACTTCAAGTGAGTCTAGATGGGTCTTATGGACAAAGTTGTTTACGCTCTAGTATCTGATTGCGATACCCTTGCTTATAGCAAGGGTAAAAATTTAGGGAAAAATAAAAAAAGGTCTACCAAAATTTTATGCTTCTCGATCTGTATCTACAGAGTTTCATTCCAGGTGGAAATATCAGAAACTTCAACAATTAGCACAGGATCAGAACTGACAAAGAGTCAACAAAGTCGGCAATCTTTGACAAAAACAAGTAGATACGAAAAAGTAAGATTATACTAAAGACATCTTTAGATTTTAAGTCCCCCCTGAAACTATAATGAACAACACTTGCAATTGCAACACTTCAGAGAAAAATGCTTATAGCAGAAGCAAAATCCATGAGGTCGCCACTTAGCTGACAAAACTTGAGCAGGCAAATGAAAGTGCGAAAACTCAATCTAACCGATATTTTTTTTCAATTACATAGTCTGAAAAATCGAGGTCCGGCCGAGATGCCAAACTCAAGCCTAAGGATGCAAAGGCGACAATTTTTACTTTTGGACAATAAGGAAGGAACTTGAAATCTGTTACGTTTCAAAATTATAGACAGAGAACAAGCGATTTCACAAAAATAGCATTTCAAGCTAGCAGACAGGAAAGCAAAAGAGAACTACCCAGTCCAAAGAAAACAGAAAAATGTTTCGGAGAAATCACAACCAAAAAACTTCAAATATTTTCTGGAATGATGTTATATTTGCAGAAAACACGTCCAGAGACACATTCGATACCACTTAAATAAAATTGAAAAACAATAATCGAGCGAAAAAAATGTTGTCTTGAAAAACTTTGAACAATAAAGTTTTTTTTCTGAAATTTTCAACGTTTTGTGCGGTCTTGGAGAAAACATGCAAAATCTGGTACCCTCGATTGACCCAAAGTTATGTTAGTTGGCGGATAAAATATGAACCAAAACCATTATGGCCGAAAAACTTTTTATGCCAAAAGTTAGAAAAAAACGAAATTACGAAATCTCGGGTAGTAAAATTATAAATTGCAGGAATAAACAAAAATATTTGTTAAAAAAACTAATCGAAATATTTTAAATAGTGTCACAACATAAGCAGACAAATAATAGGCCGATATTTTATTTCGAAACGGAAAATTTCATGTTTGACAAAAAAATGTTCCTGCTCAGGTTTGAACACACGACCATTATTAACGAAGGTTTATTCGTTACCTCCAGACTAATTCAGGTGCCGACTATGAGAAGTTTGAATTGATTATGAACCAAGATAACAAATGATTGAAAGCATTCTGTTAAACAAGTTGTTAACCCGAAAAACGTCTATATTCCGATTTGAAAACGCTCGCTAATCGCAAGCGTAAAAAGAATCAATCAAACAGACAATACCCAATGTGGAGTACCTGGTGGATGAATGAACATTAAGGATGGATGAAAAATTTTTCGGATGAACATTTTTTTGGATCGAGCTTGAGATGGGTGAACATTTTTTCTGGTTTTACCAATAAATGATGTCAATGAGTGAAAAGCGATTTTTTTCGGTTTTAAAAAAAAATTAAGTTCTTAATCTCAGCATGTACTAGACAAAATTGCAGTGCGGATCCACCACCTAAGGGCAATCACCAGCTAAGGGCGACAAAAAACAAGATGCTCCCCTTTCACATTTTTGTGCTGAGAAATCATATGGACGCACAAAAAGCATTTAATTGCAACTTAGCAACAGTTTTATAGGAAATAGAGTGACTAATTAGGTATCGTTTCAACACAGAGAAGAAGCGGAGCTTCGCATCACTTGCGAACAAAAGCGCAGAAATGCAAACTTGCAAAAAAAACAACTGAGATGGAAATTATCATGAAAAACTAAAAAAAAATTTGGGAAATAAAACATTTTCAGACGGAATCGAAGCTAAACTTCGCAAAAATTGCGATACAATGAAGGAAGATTACTGTGAAAAACATGCCTAAACAATAGATTGCAATATCAGCCTCGGAACAAAATTAACTAAGCGATGTCAAAGTCGAAATTACACCATACACTAGCAGTATCTCTTCCAGTTTAAATTTTTTTCATTCGGAGCTAATTAAAAATGCTTACGTCCCCATTCCTTTCATAACCCACACAGAAAAACAAAAAGTGTTTCGCGCATCAAATGACGTACAAAAAGGCTAGTACGCCAGTATACACTAAGCCGAAACCTACAAAGCCGAAAAAAAAAACAGAAAAAATGAAATTCCAATCAACCGAGTGGTAAAAACTTCATCAAGTTTAAAACTTGAAAATTGTGTTTCTTCAAAACGACCCAAACCCAAGATTAGGTCACTAAGCAGATTAAAAATAAGCCAAATTATTTTCAGCCAAATAAAGTTTTTAAGCAAAACAAAAAAATGAAAAAAATGTGAAGGCAAATAAAATTACAAATTGCAAGAAACTTAAGAATCAAACACTAAAATTAACTTTAAACAAAATGGCGCGCAGCGAAAAAAAAACAGTTTCAAGATGTGGCAACTAAGCCGACCATGGTTTCGGCTCATGATATTTGCATTATTGTTGAAGGAGTATTTTTTATCGTCTTAAAAAATTTAGTTTTTCAAATAACCTTTAGCCAAGTACCGAACCCGACTAAACCATACTCCACAATATGACCCAGTTTTTTTGGCATGTTCGGCTTCCAATCTCGGGTATAAGGATTTTGTCAGATCAAAGTTTCTCGAGAAAACTAGGTTTTACGGCTATATCTTCATGTATTTTGAACTTACAAAAGGCTTTTGATTTTGTCTAATTTCACTTTCGTCTAACTTTGTTCCGCCCGTCTAGACAAGTAAGCACCAATTTCAAAAAATAAGCTCCACAATCATGATCCAAGCAAATCTGTTTGAACCAAGAACTTTCTGGGGCTTAAGGCAGATATACAAACATTTTAGTACTAGAACACAATTCTTCTATCGTGTGAGCATTTTAATGTTCTCAATCAACAACTGGCTCCCAAACTATTCAGTTTCTGATATTGGACCATAATAAAATTGAATTATGTCTTGCGTTTTCTCCAAGAAAGTATCGCTTGCTATAATATCTGTGGTTGCAATACTCAGCGTTTTTGCGGTCACGGTTTTACTAATTTTTGAATTGAGTGATATTGTATCCGGTAAAGTTTCCAGTGAAAATTTTGACTTTGAATCGCAAACAGTATACAGTTACAATCGACTTCCAAAAAATTACTTCCCTGTAAAACAGCACATCAGTTTGACATATTTTGCAGAAAAGAGGTATTTTAAAGGAAGTACGACTATCGAACTCAAAAGCGAAGATGATGAAAACTATAATCAAATTAGAGTTTTCGCGTCGAACATTACGATTCAGAAAATTGATGTTCGCACTGAAAATGCAAGCCTCGTAAACTCTTTTGAATACCTTGCGAAACATGAAATTATCATAGTCAAAATTAATTTGATAGAAAGAGAGCCTAAATTATTTTTGAACATTGAATATTCGACCCAGAAAAGCCCAAAAGGGGTCGAGGACTTCAAAAATAAGAATCAACTAGGCGTCGTCACATTTTTCCAACCATCAAACGCACGAACAATTTTCCCTTCGTTCGATGAACCAAACTTCAGAACAATATTTTCATTTGATGTTCATGTTGCGAATTCAACTGAAAACGGGCTTGATTTAGTTCTCTTTAATGCCGCAGAAAAACCCGATGAGAAAAACCCAAATTCGAATGAAGGAACCTTTAAGTTTTTAGAAACTGTTCCAATTCCTTCTTATTTGGTAGGATTCGCCATTTTGAAATCATCAGAGTATAGTTTGATCACGTCTTTCAGCTACGCCAATCGACTGCCAATTCGCGTTTTCAGCGTGACAGGATTAAATTCCACACTGCATCAGCAACTTAGAGATTCCATTAACTTTTCGCTTGATTACTGTGAGAAAATATTCCATATCGGCTGGAAAATGTCGGACAAACTAGATATTTTGCTCACATGGAGGTTTGCAGGAGGCATGGAGCAGCCGGGACTGATTCCAATCAGTGCCAGTTACGTAGAAAAGCCAGTTGCTCTAATCGGAATTCTTATACACGAGTTGGTTCACCAATGGACGGGTAAACTACGCTTGTACACTGCTTTGATTAAATCACTTAACAATTTTCCCTTCTAAAAAGTGGCGGAGATTCTAGGGCTCCTTTCCGCTCATCCCCCCCCCCTCACACACACATTTGAATTTCTTCACCCCCGCATTTGAATTTCAATATTAAATATTAGGAACACATTTGTTTTTCATACCTTACATCGTAACATCACGCATTCAGGCGTAAGAAAATCAAAACATGGGGGGGGGGGGTGGAGGTGTAAAAGAGCCGATTTTGGATCTTGTTAACTATTTCCACCGCTATGGTACCTTGTAACGAATTTCCACCCCTATTAAGAAAAAATTGAACAGTTAAGTGAGTAGTGTATAACTTAACCACCCCATCCCTACATACATGGCTCATTTACCCAAAATTTAAAAAAAGTCATGTACGGACATGTTTGAACCTGATCTTATTTGAGAAGCTGAAACCACATATTTTATCACCCGAGTACCCAATTACATAACAATGCCGCGAAACGACCCTGTCTGATTGGTTGAAAGTCAATGCAGCTAGATGCGTCGTGCGCGTCATTGTGCGAATTAATTTTGAAAAACTAACCTGATTGCTTTTCCCCAGGTATCATTTTGAGCGTTAATGCAAACACAAACAGTTGGTAAGAAGGAAGAAAGGTTTGCATATATTCTTCAAAACTGCTTACATTTGATATAATATGCCCCGTGGTCAATCTTCAATGCTAATGAGCGAGGCAAAACATTCCTAGTCTGGAAAATATGCAACTGGTTTTTTTTTCTTCAAAATACAAAAAACTTTTGGGTTTGGCATTGGCGAAAACGAGTAACTTGAGAGCTTACCATTGTTATGCGCTCAAAACTAATTAACAAAAAAAATTTTCTCAAAATTTCATAGATTTTTTTAAATTGGAAAAATGTGATGAATCAACTAATTTTTTTTTCATTTGATCGTCATCAAGCATAACTTTATGTTAATTTTCAACAAACACTGTGGAAGATCTTCAAAAAATAATACAATTGATTCGTTTATTATTTTTTCAGAATTTTTTGTACGCTAGATTTTGATTCTTTGCGGTTTGACTTCTTTTTAATTTCTGTCTAAAAAAACAAACTCCAGATTCTACCAGCAGAATAATGAATAATTTTGAAAATTGACTTCAATTTTCTGAATTCTCTCAATGGGATAATTTAATGGAAAAAAAATAACGGCTCTTGAACTTCAAAACTCTTGAACTTTAACAGCTCTTGAACTTCAAAGCTCTTGAACTTTAACAGCTCTTGAACTTTACTCCGACTATTTGAAAAATGGCGGGAGAACATTTTTTTTGGAGGGTGTGTTTCAATTATTTTCATTATGACTTTTTTAATCTAAAATTAAGTACCATTTAAAATTATTGGACCGGGTTGAGTGATATAAATATTAAAGCTCTTTCAATGTAATTTGAACGATATTTAGAAATCCCAAAAAAAAACAGAGACGAGAAAAATTAGTTTTAAATTTTTGTTTGTTCGTCTAATTTCCTGTTAGAACAGCGAGGAAGGAGGTTGATTATAGAAGGATTGTCGCAAATTAGTTTAAAAAAAGCCTGAAAATTTTTGTTAAATAGGTTTTTGAAGTTCTTTTACGCTATCTTGAAAATCAATAACTTCAAAAACCAAAGGAAAAAAAAGTTGGATATTTTTAGTCATTTTTGAAAAAAAAAAACTGTTTACCAACAAGGCTATTTTACTATGACTATCGGAAAAGCCTAAAGTCTAGTCTTTCGTTTGAGTCCTTTCATCACACCAATCTTAAAAAAAATAAAACCGATTTACAAAAAATTTTTTGTTTTTCGCAGTTTTATCAGAACATGGTCCGATCATTCTGCGCTACTTGCACAGCAACCAGCTATCCTTCTTTCATTTGTTGTTTTGTTTCATCTGGGCAGTTCAAGATCTGCAGCTTTAGTTCCTAAAGTTAATAACTTATTCTGCTTTGGAGGGGATAATTTAGGAGCACGTTCCATTTCACTTTCCCATTCGTGGTTCCAAGTTTTTTCCTGAGGGCATTAAGCAACATGATTAAGCAACACGTCCTATTCTTTTCCAGATTTTTTATGCAAATTTGTTTAGTTTCAAACAAACCCCCTTCCCCCTTTGATCTGTTTATACGTGAAAGTAAGAAATAATTTGGCTGAATCCTTACTCAATGCGCTAGTCAAACTTGGTTATAAAGATAGAACTTAAAATGCCGCGCGCAATTTCATTCACAAAATAATCTTCCGCTTTTGATCAACCACAAGCTCCTTAAGTTTGTGCTTCTTCGAAATTCTATAATTATATTATCGAAGTTCTGCAACGGGAACTTTAGCAATCAGCGCAGTTCATGGACAAAAAAAAATCTTTGAACGTAAGGTGGCTCGTTTTCCAAGTGGCTTGTTTTATTTTGACTGTCAAATTGCTTATTATCTTTTTTTGTTCTTTTTTTTTCACATCATGCAAAAAAAACTAGAGTAGTTTGAAAAAACAAATTGTATAATTTAAAGACTGTGGTCGAAAAACTCTGTGCTTCTTGCAAGGTAACTGGCTATCCTCGTGTTGATTTGTTTTCCGTTAATAATTAGCGCTCAATTTTTTTTACTTCCAAGAGTTATTCTATTGAGAGTTTTTTTTTATTGTAGTTAAGGCAAACTGAAGCTTTTCTCCACTATTAAAAAACAACAAAATTACATTTTTTTTAGATTAAAAAAAATCGGGGGTTTTTTCTTTGAAATTTTTAAAATGGATTAACTTATGAAATTGGCGATAAGAGACCTCTGTCTCCCGGGTTTTTAAGAATTAATGAACGTAGTGGAGGGTTTTATATAGGTCTAGATGATTTTGTTTGTTCTTTGTGTTTTGTTTCAGCAAAATTCCTAAAATTTGTTGAGGCTGAGTTTTGATTTTGCACGAATTAAATTTTGGTTTCTTTCTTAGGCCCCCTTCCTTTCCTTTGTTGAAATAAAAGGAAGACAAACTACACTATCGAACAGCATAAAAGTCAAGAAAAACGTAATTAATTGTCAGGTTTCCCAGCAAAATAATTTTTAACCTTTTGATCCAAATTTTTCAATGGATTTGATTTTTTTCGAAAAACATCAATCATGAACTGTTTCAATAATTTTTTTTTTCAAAAATTGAATCATTTTTGTTTTCGTCTTCTTTGCGATTATTGCTTTTTTCCACTGTCCGTTGGCTATGTTTTGATATTTACAAAATGCTTATTAGAACTGCTTGTACACCTGGCCTCTCACTCTAACTTGCTGTTCTGTTTGCCACGCCACCATCAACGTTTTTGTGCTAGTAATTTAATTATGGAGCTCAAAAATTGTTATTATTAGTTTTGTATTCTTGCCAGCTAAACAAATTTTTAGTTATACTTTAAAACATTCGTTTTTTTATATTGAAAATATGATATCTAGATGTAAATAAACAATGAATTGACATATACGTTGTTTTTTCATTCGGTTTAAAGGTGGAAAATAACTATGGCCAGGGTGTATTTTCTCGTAAATTTAGGTTGTACAAAAATAACAATCAAAAACTATCAGGTATCTCACTAAAAATTCTAAATATTCTCAGATTTCAAAAAAAAAACAGAAGCAGAATTTCTACATTGCCAAACAACCCGAGCAAAAAAATATGAGAATTCGGAAAAAGTTTTAAAAGTCAGAAAATATTGAAAAATCAAGGTTCAACAAAAAAAATAACGTCTGTTTCAATTAAAGGTTCATTCGAGGTAAACATGGCAGATTTTTGACGGATAAAATAGCAAAGGAGCGTCTTCTATAACGAGAAAACAAAGCAGCCGATCTTTGAGCAGACATAAGATAAGACAAAAAGTTTTTTTTTAAAGAATCTTTTAAGTTTAATGCCTCACCTTAAACTACAATGGACAAAACTTGCACTTTTAACTACAATTAGCTTTGCTTAAGCTATGCGAAATTCTTTGTGGCAACTAAGCCGACAATGTTTGAGCGGACACATATTGAGCCCCGAAAATTATGATTTTAAATAACATTTTTCCTAAATTGCAAGACCGAGATAAAACTACAATGCATAACATTAATGCTTGCGACTATAAGGAGAATTGCTGAGAGCAATAGAAAAATCATGGGTGTTGCCACTTAACCCACAATCTTTGAGCCAACGCCAGCTGAACCAAAAAAGATTTATTTTTAAATAATTTACATTTATATATATTTTTGAGTCTATCATATAATTAAATGCGGGCTTCACTATCTGGTCATGTTTAAGCTTTTTCAACGTATTTTTTTTGCATGTTTAAGCTATATCGTATATTGCAATGGTTAAGAATCTATTATATATTTAAATGCGGGCTTCACTATCTCGCCATGTTTAAGCTTTTTCAACGTATTATTTTTGCATCTATTATATATTTAAATGCGGGATTCACTATCTTGCCATGTTTAAGCTTTTTCAACGTATTATTTTTGCATCTATTGTATATTTAAATGCGGGCTTCACTATCTCGCCATGTTTAAGCTTTTTCAACGTATTACTTTTGCATGTTTAAGCTATATCGTATATTGCAATTGTTAAGAATTTTTTTCGATTTTCTAATTTGATTTTAGTGCTTATTCTACCGTGTTTACTTTAAGCAGCCGAATATTGAATTAGGGGTTGCAAATTTGGCCTCCAATTTTGAATGCCCGAATCATTTTAGTTAACTAGATAAGACAATTTTTGAGATTTTTTCAAAAATGTTAAGAAATTTCAAATAACAAAATAATTTACAAAACTTGAATTTCCCAACCCTGTAGTTGGGTGCTGTCGGAGTACTCTAAGGAGTTACAAATCTTGCCTCCAAATACGACTGTTCAAATCCTTGTAGTTTTCGAGATATGACGTTTTTTGTGATTTTTTCAAAAAAAAATTCAGAAAACTTAAATTAATTTTTTTTCGCAAAATCCGAAATTCCCAACCCTGTAGTTGGGTCCTGTCAGAGTATTCTCAAAG